TGAGCAGGACGGATCAAAAACTTATACACATAACAGGAGAGGAAGAGCAAAGAAAAGGGGAGATGTGGGTGAGTGGGGTGGGGGGGCATCTAATATCATCTTGTCCCGGGCCCAGGGAAGGCTGTCAGCTGGCCTGGTTCTACATACCTGTCCTGTGTAACGGTATCTGTGGTTTCCAGATGTTATCCAGCAGTCTGCGCTGGCGATCGAGCTCTTCCTCGTACTGGACGATGGTTTTCTCAAACTCTGTGAATATTTCTTCAGCAGCAGCAGTTAGTCGCTCGTTGATCAACTCTCTCAGATTCTGAACTGAACTCATCGTTACTTCAACTGATGAAATATTCATCTGAGACACGACAACCCAAGCGTCTTCCAGCTCAGTCCACACATCAGTAAATTAACGCTGCTGGAGGATGGTCTTTGTTTACTTCCGCCTGGTGTCACACCGAGAAACTCCAGCAGAAACACTGAATAACTTTTTTTTTTTATTGTTCCGTCTTTCCATCTTATCACACAGTTTCTAACAGAAATATTATTTTTGCATCCTTCAGAAAGCAAAAAAAAAAATCTAGAAACAGATTCTGAATAACAGCTGGGCTTCAGAGGTGAAACTAAATAAACAGACACATGAACATGAAATGTTTCTTCCTATGTAGTTCACTGTTTCTCTGGATATATAACTGCTGATCGGCTCAAATGTATGAGTTTTTCAGGATATTAATAATAATTACCTTGCTGTCACTGGTTTGTCTCCGCTTTTCTTAAAACTCATGCTGATGTGAGCAGATTTAATGTCAGCTGTGATGCTTCTGCTTAAGTACTTCCATGACATCTAGTGGAGAAATGATCTCTGTGCAGAATCTGCTGTCCTCACAGTAAACAGTGATGATCTGCAACCAGCTTTACATGTCTTCCATTTCACTTCGTGTTACTGAAGTTACATGTTACAGATGCACTCAATTCAGGTGAAGAGAAACATTATTTGAAGTCTTATTTAGATTTGTTGATGAACAGAATGTCACACAACATGGAGGTGAAAGCAAAGCTTTTTTTAAAAAAATAAAAAAATAAAATGTGAAAGTGCAATAAAAACATTTTCCCTAAATTCAATGAATGAGTTAAACATGTTTTTTTGTGTTAATTGTTACACGGTGGCTCAGCGGTTAGCACCGTCGCCTTGCAGCTAGAAGATCCCCGGTTAGGACGCCCGGGATCTTTCTGCTATTCTCCCTGTGCAGCATTGGTTCTCTCTGGGTTCTCCGGCTGCCTCCCACAGTCCAAAAACATGTTGAGGTTAATTGGTGATTCTAAATTGTC